GAAAATAAAATGTTAAAGAGAAAATAAATAAGGATGTTAGAAATGAAATAATTAACAGTATTAGAACAGAAATAAATCGTGTTCAAAAGAAAAATTATCTCTTTTGCAACAAATTATTTATTTATTTTTTATATTATAAAATTATGTGTGTTTGTACAATTTAATAAAATATACATTAATCAAAAAATTATTTTCAACATGGTATCAGAGACAAATTATGATATTGAAACATGTGGTTTATGAGCTTATCGTGCTTCTATGAGGTTACGAAAAGTTTACTGAATTTTATCATCGAGAGAAAGAATGAACAATCTAGCGTACATTATCATTTGATCAGACTAAAATTTTTATTTCCTGAATTCTTGTTATTGTTTCTGGTCACTCTTTTCTTCATTCTTCTTGATGAGCTTCTTTTTATCTGTAAAAATTATGGAATGAGACTTTTCTGTGACAACATAATTTAACCCCCGGTATAACATTATCATCAGAGAAAATGGATAGTAGGGCAAAAAGGTTACATGGTTCTGGATCCATGAGGGAAAGATAATAAGGACATATGTCTTTCCCTCATGAGTCCAAAATCAGAAAACCCCTCTGTCCTGTTGTCTCTACTTTTTTTATGACGATGTTGCACTGAAGCTAAAATATAATGCCACAGAGAAATCTCAATCTATATTTTCTATATATGAGAATAAGGTCATCAATAAGAAGGAAGAAAAGAGTAGCCAAAAACAGCAATAAAAACTCATAAAAGAAAAGTTGCAGTCTGATCCAAGGATGATGCGTGCTAAGCCTTTCATGCTTCCTCATTGAATTGTTGTGAATGGCAATGTCGATGGCTTGATCAACCTCATATTCTCTTGACTGAATCTTGTGTTCTGGATACAATACAATCTGCTAGTAAGGTGTCCCTTTATATCAAGAATACCAATAAAGTTGTCATGTTAATTGAGTCTTGTCCAATTACAAGTGATGATGTTTTTTCACTCTCATATTGATTTAAAAAATATGGATAGCGTTTAGTGAAAATAGCCAAGATGAGTTATGCAGCTCTATCTTGTTAGCTAAATACTGCAAAAAAGAAGGTTTATGTGTATACAGAACTCATACCATACCATATCCATTATGTTATTTATTGCTTAGCAAATATTCTTTTTTCGTTTTTTAAGTTCTTTCAATTGTTATTTAAGTCACCATATTATGAGTTCAAACAAGGTTGCAAGCTGCAATCTCAATCATGTTAGTATCATGTATATGTATAACCTAATTTATGAAATGTATGTATTTTCGTTAAAACATATTATGCCACTAAAATAGTCAGAAACCTCAAAACTCACTTGAAATCAATTCAACTAATTCAATTGCTATAATTATTTGTATTACAAAATTTTATTTTGTTAATCCGTATCCATTTATATAGCAACTCCTTTTACTAATAATTTAACATTAAATTCAGGTGTTAAATTAAATTCATAGTATGAAATTTTCACTTCGCTATTCTTATAAATGGGATGCTACTAGTACTAATTAATA